TCCGATCTTCGTTGATCCACCAATCCTCCAGCCAGCCTTCAATCCATCCTTCATCCTTCATTTCCAATCTCCAATTTCCATCCTCCATTTCCATGTTTTTATATTCGTTAATATTGTTGTTTATCTATTTTATTCCTTGATTATTTCCTTTATTTCATGTATGTGTGTAAAGTATTCCGAGGCCCTAACGGCGATTGTGGAACTTCTTTAACTTCCTCTTTGCGGGAAGTACCATTAGTATCCTAGTCATCCACACAACCAGAACACGAAGAGACTGTGCACTTGAATGCATCCCATTTTTCCTTTTTTTTTTTTTTAATATTTTTGTATACTCTGAAACCGATCTCAATTTTTAAATATTTGATGGAGATTTTGCCTTAAAATATAATTTAATTCGGCCCAAACATCAGTAAGTTGTTTGCTCTATGTGGGGGGCTTTTGCTTGAAAGGAAAAAAGGGTAGCCGGTAAGCCTTACATCAGATTTCGATATCTCTGACTTTTGTACTCTTCCAAACATAAATTTTGTTTTGTTATTATCGTGTATATCTTTTTAGACATGATGTCCTTGTCTGGTTGTCGAGCTGTCCACGCTCTATTGTACAAAAACTCGAGCAGGTGGCCCACCATCCAGCTGCAAACCTTATCGCCCAGAAGGACTCGATCCCGGCCAAAGAGCCAAAAAGGGCCGTAAAAGAAGCTGTGAAAATTGCTTCAGGAATAATCAAACCGACTTATCTCTCGTCGAATCTCGAGGTGCAACATTGGCATGCCATATCCCTAAGTGCCGCCACATGGTGCGGCATGATGGGTGTATCTGTCGTATTTGTGGCACAGACTTTATTCAAGTTTTAATGTAGCGAAAAAGCAACTATTCATTTGAGGCAAAGAACTCTTTTTCAGCAGGCAAAGAATGCTGCAGAGAACAGAAATATTTATTGGGAAGCTGTGAGGCTATATGAGGTTCCATCAATCCATCTCCTTCGCTGCAGTTTCTCTTTCCATTACGGCATCCTTTTGGGGCCCATTCTTGGCTCATTTCCCATCCTTAAATGCCAACTTTCTGATTGCACTCGGACAGCGCCGCCAAGTGGCCAAGTTTGTGGCCAGAAACTTTCGCTTTTGACCTATTGTTTGCGAATTCCAAGCCAAGTTCAATTGTGTTTGCCATTTTCTTTTAGCCCCGAAGTTTTGGTCCAAAGTTTGGACTTTGAATTTTTGTTACCAATTTTCAGCTGCAAGGCAAGTGCAAGTTTTATTGGAATGGGTCAGGGGACATGTCTGAAAAGAGGGGTTTTTGGCCTAGTCAGCTTTAGATATAGGGTTCAAGGCATTCAGATCGTATGCAAATGTCACAAAACACACAAATGGAAGGCAGAGAGGGTATGCCGCTTTTGGTTAGATGTTTGCAATGAGAACGGCAAAGAATACAAATCCGGCAAAGCCTTTCTTTCTTGAACCCGTTTCTTTCAGTTGCATGCACCGAGGTCGGAGAATAATCTACGGCTCTATCTGTAGATATTCTCTCCGTCTTGGGGTTCGTTCGTGTGGCCCTCGGGGTAAGGGTATCGCCGGCATCGCTTTTAACGGCTAGAATTTCCACTCTTGTTGGTTATTCTGTTGTGCGAGTGTGACTAACGAACTAAACAAAGGCAGAACCAAACACACGCACACACTCGTGCACACTAGCACGCACACAGACGCACCCGGAGAACAGTGCGAGCTATTTTCCCTGCAAAGCTTGCTATGCTTTGCATTCTGCCGGCGTGATGGCTTGTGCGAGAATGGGCAGAGAGCAGTGACACGGAGTGTGTGTGGGTGGAGAGTAGGTGGGGTGCAGCGAGAGGGGGGACGGGAAGCTGAGAGTGGACCGCAACGTCGCCACTTGATTATCATGCATATTCATTCATGCCACTTTCGTTGGCCTTTTTGCACATGTAGCATGCGGCATGCGGCATGCGGCATGCGGCATGCGGTATATAAATTATTTAAGGGGCTAGCACCCAGCATTGCGATGGTTGGGGAGAAGGCAAATAGATGGCCACTACTATGAGAGGAGTGATTAAAGATGGGAATCGTCTCTGAATACCTACAATAAAAGGAAGTACATATGTATTTGTGTTGGAGTACTAAGTACTTTTGAGTACTTTCCTGATAAAGCCGCGGACAAAGCTGTTGCTTTGTACAAAAAATGATTTCTTTCCAGTGAAAAGATATCGAGAGAAAGGTAAGAAGGAACCGGAGTATAGAAGACGAGGCAGAATGACTGTAGAAAATCCCCAAAGGGAAAACTTTCCATGGTTGCCACTTCCTCTCTCCGTACTCCATATATTCTGGACTACCTTGCACATCGATGTATTTGCTTTCGATTCTGGTTTTGCCCTCGCTTCGTTTTACGTTGTTAAATTTTTTTATTGCCAAACCAAATATTTACGTGCTCTGTGGGCGTGGCACAGGGGTGGTACAGAGTCCAGAACACATAAGTTTGCCCAATCCTGCCGTCTCCCCACAACCTCTCTGGCTGCCCGGCACGCTTCGTTTTATGTTTCGCTTCGTTTTGTTTTGTTTGATTTATGCGTTAACTTTGTACTGGATTCCTCTCCTTTTTGATACCCTCGTCAAAGGGTATGACGATTCTGACCAAACCGTCCCCAGGTACTCCAAGAAATGGATCAGAGCTTGAATCTTCATTCCTATTCCTATTCCTGTTTATTTTTATATTTTAAATCACATTCGGTTAATTCTTGAGATCAAATAAGTGTGCATAACACACTCTTGACGATCAGGGTATATTGAAATTGCAAGGAGTTGTCTTCGTTGTGAGACAAAGAATCTGTATCTGTCCGTAGATTCTTTCGAAAGATGTCAAAATAATCAAAGATTACCATGTAATGTATTTTAGTCGTGGTTTTCCATTCTTTAGGGGCTCCAACTGACGTATTCTGTGTACACATTAGTGGCCCTAAAACCATAAACCTGCGTTCTACGAGCAGTATCCATAGTTTCGGGCTTCCAATCTTTCTTTTTTTTAAGAGAGAATTCTGGTTTATGTGGCAGCTTCCAATATTTTGCGAATATTCCTCCTGCCACAGCCTGTTCTCGTCCTTTCTCTATCCGCCTCCTGTTTTCTGTTGTTGCATGCAAATATAACGCATACGCAGCGTATGACGGAGTTTACTGTGTTCCACAAACGGCGAATGTTATTTAAGTTTTGTTGTTTTTTTTGTCGTCCGTCCCTTTCCCTTAATTGATTGCATTGCTGGGAAGGGGTGGGGATGGAGATGGGAGTGTTGTAATCCATTTACAACTGCGGTTATCCTTCACCCAAAATTCCCACACCACCTCTTCTGGGGCAGGGAAGAGCCAGAGAAATTCAAATTAAACAATAAAATGTGCGCCAAAACATTTTGCGGTTTTGGTTTACGCTTTTTCGAGTTGGTCGAACGCTTAAATGTTTGCCACTGCGGTGCGGTGGTTCTGGATGCGTCAGGGGTGCTAACTAAGGGTGGCTTAGAGGCAGCCACGGGGTGATGATCCGCTTGCAGCAATGCCGCCAGCAACTAAGTTCTCATCCCACACACAGCTGCGGTTCGACAACTTCTATCTGGCTTACTTATTAACTTTTCTTGTGCTTTATCTTTCCTTCTGGGTTTCCAGCCGCGCTTTCCACTTCCGTCAAAGTCAGGCCCTTGGTCTTCTCGGAGCCATGTTCAAATCTATTAAAAACTTTGCACATTAACTTTATTTCATTTATCAAATGTTGATTACTCCACTCTCTGAGGTCTGGGGTCTCTCCTCTACCGTCTGCCTCTCCTCTGTGCCTCTCTGTAGTGGTGTTCTGTCTGATGGAGAGGAGACACAAAACTAACAAAAAGTTATGGAGAACAACGCATTTGTCGCCTGGATGGATGGGAAGTTCTACCACCCCACCAGATAAGGGGCCGCCATCAGTGGGAGCAGGTTGAAAGTTGTATCTTCATTTAGTTCATGTCAGGAAGTTTTACCCGCGACTCTACCACCAGAGTACTAGAGGGATTATACTAGAACGTGAACGACGAGAGAGGGCGAGGACGAGGGCAAGGGCGGGGACGAGGATGAGGATGAGAGTTGCACACTGAGAAAAAGGGGAATGGAAATGGCTAACCAGCAGAATTAATGAGAATGAGGCAGGAGTAAACGCAGAGCTTGGTAAAGCAATGAGTAAATGCCTTAACGTTTAGTGAATGAATGCCAGAGTGAATGCATAAGGACTGCCAAAGATACGATCCAGCCAAGCAGCTTCCTGTGCATCCCATTGTCACTGTTACTTCCCCTTCAATTGTGTTTTCCTTAAGCCCCATTTTATTTCATTCCATTGCATCCTTCTGCTGCTGCTGCTGCTCCTGTCATTGGCTTAATGGAGCAGTTAACGTTAAATGCTGATTAAATGTGCGTGCGGGGGCAGGATCTGCTTTTGCTACGATGAAATTTAAATATGAAATTGCTCGGGTGCCCACCTCCCTATCCCTATCCCTATCCCACCTGCCTTCCTGCATGTCCCTGGTGCAAGAGTAATGTCCTGCCTGCTGGCACACACCTATCGCCTTCGGGCCGCGTCCTTGTTCACGCCTTGGCACTTCCTTTTCATGCATTTAAATTGCGGTCCGCAGCCCCGTATGTGCAGGCCATCCCACACCCACATGTGTGGGAATGTGGTATGTGGCCTGCCCCAATCCACTTCCTCCATGCCGGCCACATCCTTCCGCTTGGCCAACACCATCTGCTATTCTGCTCCTCCATCTGAGCAGCTAGAGACGGAAGTCCGAAGCTTGGGTACCCTTTGCACATCGATACTCCATGGAAAATGACTAAGCCTCCGGTCAGAGTCGTACAGCCCGCTGGAAGGGTATAAGCACGAGTATAAGCTTCAAAATGATGCCACACACAGAGGCAATCGAAATGCAATTTTAATTCCGCGGAAGCCAGAGTCATGTTCCTGTCCCATGCAATAATCGGATTAAACTCAATTTTCCGAGCGTTTTCTCGTTTTCAATATTTGAATTTTTTTTAAAACAAGGTAAAAATCTACTTAAATTTGGAAAAACAGAAGGATACGTTGCCGTTTTTAGTGCCATTCACAATCTTGATTTGGGTTTTCAGCTAGGTCTGGGGTCAGGTGCACTCCCTGCAATTCTATTTCAAGGTTTGATTTCAGCAGCATCGGGATAAGGGTGGGCCGCGGCTATGGTCTGTGCAATAGTTAAAGTCCTGTGCTCTTCATAGTGGTAGATGTCTAGATTCAAATGATGTGATGAAACGTGAAGAATATTCCTTAAACTATTTGTTTACCTCTGCTAATTGGATTCATCGGGTCCTGCTTCGCTTTGTTTTCGAATGAGTTTTCGGATCGTTCAATTGCATTTAGTCGCTCTCCGGATACGATGTTCTCCCTCATGGAATCTTCCATTTCTTCAATAGTTTGGCCCGTTTGCTGATGGTTGTGATTTCTTGACAATTTCCATGGAAATATGACGTTAAACGGGTACACGACAAATAAGTTAAGCGCACTGAGCAGGACATCACACAAACGAATGCTTATGAACGGGAAATACAAAGATTTATAACCGAATCGAACCGAATGGATTCCAAGAAAGGACTACTCACCAAAGAGTGTGCAGGCAAAAGCGTTTCTTCTTCTCCACCTGGCTCTCCAGTTTTACTTCCACAAGTTCCATTACATCGTCTTCTTCCTCCAAAATCGTTGCTTCCTGCTCTTGCTCTTGCTGGTGCTCCTGCTGGTGCTCCTGCTGGTACTCCTGCTGGTGCTCCTGCTGGTGCTCCTTCTGGTACTCCTGCTGGTGCTCCTGTTCTTGCTTCTGTTGGTGCTCCTGCTGGTGCTTCTGATTCTCCTGCTGATTCTCCTGCTGGTACTCCTGCTGTTGCTCCTGCAGTTGGTCTTGCGGTTGCTTCTGCTGGTGCTCCTTCTGGTGCTCCTGCTGGTGCTCCTTCTGATTCTCCTTCTGGTACTCCTGCTGGTGCTCCTGTTCTTGCTTCTGTTGGTGCTCCTGCTGGTGCTCCTTCTGATTCTCCTGCTGATTCTCCTGCTGGTACTCCTGCTGTTGCTCCTGTAGTTGGTCCTGCTGTTGCTCCTGCAGTTGGTCTTGCGGTTGCTCCTGCTGGTACTCCTGCTGGTGCTCCTGCTGGTGCTCCTGCTGGTGCTCCTTCTGATTCTCCTTCTGGTACTCCTGCTGGTGCTCCTCTTCTTGCTTCTGTTGGTGCTCCTGCTGGTGCTCCTTCTGATTCTCCTGCTGGTACTCCTGCTGTTGCTCCTGCAGTTGGTCCTGCGGTTGCTCCTGCTGGTGTTCCTTCTGATTCTCCTGCTGGTACTCCTGCTGGTGCTCCTCTTCTTGCTTCTGTTGGTGCTCCTGCTGGTGCTCCTTCTGATTGTCCTGCTGATTCTCCTGCAGGTGGTCCTGCAGTTGGTCCTGCTGGTGCTCCTGCTGTTGCTCCTTCTGGTGCTCCTTCTGGTGCTCCTTCTGGTGCTCCTTCTGGTGCTCCTTGTGGTGCTCCTGCTGGTGCTCCTTCTGGTGCTCCTGCTGGTGCTCCTGCTGTTGCTCCTTCTGGTGCTCCTTCTGGTGCTCCTTCTGGTGCTCCTTCTGGTGCTCCTTATGGTGCTCCTGCTGGTGCTCCTTCTGGTGCTCCTGCTGGTGCTCCTGTTGTTGCTCCTTCTGGTGCTCCTTCTGGTGCTCCTTCTGGTGCTCCTTCTGGTGCTCCTTCTGGTGCTCCTTCTGGTGCTCCTTCTGATTCTCCTGCTGTTGCTCTTGCAGTTGGCCCTGCAGCTGCATCTGTTGTAGCTCCTTCTGGTGCTCCTTCTGGTGCTCCTTCTGATTCTCCTGCTGTTGCTCCTTCTGGTGCTCCTGCTGTTGCTCCTTCTGGTGCTCCTTCTGGTGCTCCTGCTGTTGCTCCTTCTGGTGCTCCTTCTGGTGCTCCTTCAATTTCTCCTGCTGTTGCTCCTTCTGGTGCTCCTTCTGGTGCTCCTGCTGGTGCTTCTGGTGGTGCTCCTGTTTTTTCGCCAGCTCCTTCAGCTGCGGCACATCTGATTCGTGCACTTCCTTGATTTCGCTGCCATTTCCCTTGGCCAATGTCTCTTCCATCGGGTCCATCAGCAACACCTTGGCCTTCGGGTTAGGCACTCCCGATGGCAATGACGTCTGCTTCGAGATAAGTTGCTCGTACTCTCCAATTAATTTGGTGACTCGCTTCAAATTCTCTAGCTGCACACACGACATTGAGGTACTCATGTTAGGAGCGACAAAATTGCAAAACAAAAACTAAAATTACTTTAAAAAAAAATAGTTCAGAAAATTTGTTATAAATTTGCCTTCTTCAAGTTTTGCATTGATGTAAAGCAACTGAAACCAAAACTGATATTGAGACTGAGGCCAAACAAAACGTTCTAAGGTCCAGGGACTACTAGATTTAATTTGTAGCACAAGCTGAATGCTCCTTCTTGACTTCTCCTTTCGAGCATACATAGTAGTCGCACTCGTTTCCAGTGACAGAATTTCTCCTTTAAAAGGGGAGAATAAGAAAATCAGCTGTTCGGGCAGTAGCTTTGACGGAGCAACAGCGCTGCCATAAATATATGGAAAATATTCAGGGAATTATAACGAATATCCATCGCCGCCTTAAATCTAAAACAACAAATCCATCGTCCTGCAAAGATTTCATCCTGCGTGCTCATCGTTGGAATACTCTTGAGTCTACAACTCCACTCCATAAGTCCACCCTCCTTTGAACATGCTTTAACTTTCTCAATCTGGAGATCTTTCCATCCTAGATCTATATTTTTCTGTCTCTTGGGTTCTTGGATGTGAAAACGGTGCTTTTAGACCACTCTTCATACTTCGCTTAACAACAAATGCTTCAATTAGCCTCTGCTCTGCTTCTCTCTAGATGACATGAATGTGTGCCAATCAAATGGATTATTAGACTGATTATCCCTCTCCATGTACCATGCAGCATGTTCCATGTTCCATGCACCGTCCTGTGCTGAGTGTCCTTGGGGTCCACTTGTCGCTCTCTGGTCACGTGGGGGTCGTTATTTCGGGAACAGCGGAACGTGCCCGATATGCAAATGGCATTCAATTTGGAATCGCTTAATTAACATATCTCTGCAACCGCTCCCCTCCCCGCCTTTTGCAGCAGGCGGCTTCCATGCGTTCAATGCGTTCCAATTTGCATAATCGTTGAGCCGCCCCAAGACGATAGCGACCGATACGATATCATCAGGAAAGGCCGGAAAGAGAGCAGCAGCAGCGGAAGCGGACTCCCAGTGAGCCTGGGGATTTGACGCTGGGGATTCTTTGAAGTGGAGCCGCAGCAGCGAGCGGAAGGCCGCCACATTGGAAGGAAAACGACTTTTCACGGCAGTTAATAAATTTTTAACTGGTTCAACAATTGCCCGCGAATTCCGCCAGCTAATGGTGAGTGTATACTAGTGGAAGAGGACTGACTCCTATCTCCTGGATTCAAGGAGTGGAACGAAAGGGAATAATGCTCTGTCTTTTTCAGACGAGAAACGCGGCCGTCAGTGGCGACGAACCTGACGAGGAGCAGACTTCCGCAGGTGGCACCCCAGACCAGCCTCTGGATGGGGCTCTGGCCGGGGCGGAAGCGGAGGAGGCGGCAGAGGCGGAGGCTGTGCCACAGGCTGGTGATGGGGATACTCCACAGCGACGTCAGAGGCCACGCAGGAAAGAACCACAAAGAAGTGCTGCCATTGGCCCCTTGGATGGCGACACGGACTCCAGCTCCTGTGACGGAGTGGGCGTGGGCTCTGGCTCGAGGAGGCAGCGTGTCAGCTACGCGCAAAGGAATCTTCTCGAGCAGGAGGAGGAGGATGCTGAGGACGGTGAAGACGGCGAGGATTATGACTACGATGAGGAGGAAGAGGAGGAGGAGGACTACGACGACTACGAGCAGTCATCCAGGCCCCGCCAGGTGGCTCGCCCCCGCCCGGTGCTGACCATTGGCGGAGGTCCACGGAGCAAGCGCAAAACGAAAGTCCGTCAGTTCTCGCAGCGCTCCAGCTCCTACGCCCCGGACTCGGGGCACGCCGACCCGGATGGCCACGATGGCGAGGGCGATGGCGATAGCGAGAACCAGGACAAGCGTCGCTGTATCTCCAAGGGGCAAATGCGCGGTGAGTGAAGGAGTGGCAGGAGACGCACCTGTGGGTACTAGTGCATTTCTTTGCAGAGTTTCGAGAGGCCTTCCGTCTCTTCGACAAGGACGGCGATGGCTGCATCACCAAGGAGGAACTGGGCACCGTGATGCGCTCTTTGGGACAATTTGCCCGCGTCGAGGAGCTACAGGAGATGCTCCAGGAGATCGATGTGGATGGTGAGTGTTCCTGTTCCCATACCTATCTACTCTATATTCCCGTCCTCGTTTGATTGGTCCCTCTGCAGGCGATGGCAACGTGAGCTTCGAGGAGTTTGTCGACATCCTCTCGAACATGACGTACGAGGACAAGTCGGGCCTATCTTCGGCCGACCAGGAGGAGCGGGAGCTGCGCGATGCCTTCCGTGTTTTTGATAAACACAATCGCGGCTACATCACCGCCTCCGATCTGCGGGCGGTGCTGCAGTGTCTAGGCGAGGACCTCGACGAGGAGGACAGTAAGTAGTGGATCCCATTTCCCCATCTTACTCCCAATCCAAATACCAATATTTCCAATTAACCAGTTGAGGACATGATCAAGGAGGTTGACGTGGATGGCGATGGACGCATCGATTTCTATGAGTTTGTCCATGCCCTGGGAGAGCCGGAGGACTCGCAGGAGAACGACGACGAGGAGGAGAACACCACATCGCCGCTGCCCACGCCCAAGTCGGCCATTTCCCTCAGCTACGATTGAGCAGGTGCTGGGGGCTGTGGGCAGCGGGCAGTGCCACGATTGAGTACGATTGAGGAGTGAGGAAAATTATGTTGGGGGCGGGATGGTCATCCATTATTTATGGTATTTATGGGCCCATCGATAGACAGTCTGCAGTGGAAGCAATAAATAATTGATGGCCAAGAAGTGGTGGGCCTTGACTCGATGACTCGATGACTCCTTGATGACGATGACAATGACTCGTCTGCAGTTCAGCTTGATCGATTACTCATCATATATTAATGGTATATTGATCGTCATTTAAATACTCAAACGATAACTTATTGACTCGTCGCTGCAATAATTAAATACTCATCGATTACGTATGGTAATAAGGCGAGTCTCAAGAGATAAAAAATCGAATAACCAATATTACCAACTCTAGGCAAGTCTCATTCATTCTTTCATTCATTCGAATTCAAATTGCCGGAATGCACAGCTAATCAAATTACGAATCAAATCGATAATTATACGTATAGCCAATGGAATAATCGATACATCGATAAGCTCGCACTCACTCTCTGTGAAAATTCCAAAATAACCAATAACCTACTTTATGACGATAATCTACTTTCACTTATGAAGGGGTACGAGTACCCCAATCGTTCCAACTCTCTCACACACACATATCCTTAAGTACTCGTAGTGTATCTTTCAAGACATATCATTGAAGTATCGCTCCTCTGTAAGTCTCCCATTACCCTTACCCACTTACCCACGACCCTTATATGTACCTCCTTATACGTTCCACTCCTTCCTTCTCCTTATAGTTATTTCCCTTTGCCCTTCTCTCTTTACAAATTTTTGACTAGAATCGTATATGAATAAATTGATTTAATTAGGAAATATTTGCTCAATTATAGCTACTGCTGCAACAAATATCAAATCGAATCGAATTGAAACGAAACGAAATCGAACAAGAACAAGAACAACTCTTTAATTATTGAACGAACAATTTAATGTAATTTACGATTTACAATTTTAATCCACTCGAAAAACTCGAATCGAAAATACCTTAACAAAAAAAAATAAAAAAACAAAAAAAAAAAATCAAAACAAAATCATAAATAAAAGAAATATTTGAAAAAATTACACACAAAATATGTATTTTTTCGGGAGGTTGCCCAGGGCTTACAAGGGAATTAGTGTGTGTATACCCCATGTCCTTGTGGACACATAAGGACTATGATGATTCTGCCCAGACAATTGCCAGGCGGAGTCTTCGGTTTAATATCCTCTGCTGGCCCAATCTGTCCCTCTTTTCTTATCCACAATTTGCCGTAATTTTAAACATAAATTACCATATTACCAATGGTTCCAGACTCTGTTCGCCCTTCAATCAGCCTCCCCCTTAACGCAATCCCCGCAACAAGCGCAAATATTCAATGGGGCTGGACATTGGGGAATGCCCCGGCATCAGCTTGCAGGATGCGGTCAGGCTGTGGGTACTAGAGCCACCCCTAGAATTGGTAACGATAACAACAGGAGCACCATCCACCTTCTCTTTGTCTCCCTCTCTCTCTCTCTCTCTCTCTCTATCTCTTTGTGGGTGGGTGGGGTAGCTGCGTGGACAAAAGTCATGTTAATGGCCAGTGCTCAAGTGCTTTGCCAGCAGAATTATGATGCTGAAGGGACGCTCAAGAGACGGTGCACACATGGAATGACAAAACCCAATGGGGCTCCCGTTTGCGTTGCGTATACTTAATTTTGTTTGGTTTGCTTTGCGGATACGCAATGTTTACACGTGGCAAGCGTACGTTTAGGGGTATATGTGTGTAACAGGAAGGAAAGGAAGAAATTCTCTCACATTTTTAAAAATATATGGATCTCTTCTTTATTATTATACACATGGACGATGCGATGGACTCATTGTGTGGAAGGTGCTTAGATCCACATGTCATTCGGATGGGGTGCCTACATGATGGCGGGTCTACACCCCTTGCCAGGGGTCACGGGCACACACGCCTCTTGTGTGAATAGTATTATGTCAATCATTCCACTACGAATCACACGAATCTCACAAAAGAAGAATAAAGAAGCCACCTATTGCCGGGTATCTTATGGTCGGTATTCCGTCTGCGGAGTTCCTGTTGGTGTTCGGCTTGCGGTGCGTATGCGTAATGTTTTTGTTAGCGCTTTGTCATGGTGCCCCAATGGCTCTTGGTCGAATAATGAGTGGCTACCATTTCAGGTACGGGAGGGAGAGGCAGCACCGGATCATTAGGAGGGCTCAGCCACCCAGCGGTTGAAGAGCCAACAAATTGAAATACACATAATTGTAGTCAGGCTCAATGACATGCCCATTCCCCTGCGCCAGTCGCATCCCTCTGCTTCCGGCGCCTGGCAATTGACAACGACCAAATCGATGTTTCAAGTGGCTGTCAGGCCCCATTCAGGTTTCCAGGCTGCCCTGGATTTGTCGCACAATCGAGCTGACGACTGCCTGACTGACTGCCTATCCGCCTATCCGCCTATCCGCCTGCCGGACTGTTCAACTGGACAGTCCGACCGGAGGCCTGTTGTCTCTTTGCCTCTGTCTGTCTCTTTGTTTGTCTCTGGACTGCAATTATAAACGATTAGGCAGTGGTTTTTGTTGTGGACTGATTAACATTGGCCGCCCCCCAACCGGTTTGGGATTGATGGAGTGAATCCACTTTTCACATGGATTTCCCCCGGGTAGGGACCGGGTGGGGGGCTGGCAAACAGCGGCCAGGTTCTGTTTTCATTTTCATTTTCATTTCCAATTCCTTTTTGTGTTGGTTTTTGTGGTGTGCAGGAATGGAAGCGTTTCCAATACCATGAGCCATCTGTCTATATATGTGGTAGTGCCAGACGAAACCTATTGATATGGCACTCAAACTGGCAGTCCGATCGGCACGGGTATATATATATCTGTAGATAATAGATATAATCAGTAAACTAAGGCTGTGAGGTATCCCACAGTCGGATACACGACACGCTTTGCCTTTGCTTTATGGCTCCCCCGGGACCTCATTGGCACTCACTCTTCATAAGCGGCCTTCCCCCTATTGATAAAGCTATGTCTGCGTTCATTATTCACAATTAATTTTTAAAGTAGATTGATATGCGAATGCGTTCTGGGCTGCTCTCTATTTAATTTTAATGAGTTCCCTTCGGTTTTTTGAAACAATGAAAGCGACCGAAAGTAAGGCACGAGATGGCACGAGAAGGCGCGAGAATCAATAGCCCCCGGCTACTGATGCGGCATGGCTAGTGCTGCCTTCTTGCGTTCTTGGAACATCCTCTTCTTCAGGATGCTTTCCAGATGGGCGCTGAACTCGGCTCGGGTGATGCCCACGCTTAGGTAGATGTCATTGGACAGCCATTTGTTCCAATGACCACGAACCGTAGTAGTCGACCCCTGCGCCTCAGCCAGCTCAGCCAGCTCAGTCGGCTGCTCGTTGGTGACCTCCGCACTTGTGGACTCGTTTCCGGACTCATTTTCAGCTGTGTCTGAGGTGCGATTTCCGCTGCCGTCGCGCAGATAATTGTAGCCAGGCAGCCAGCGACGGAGCAGCCGATCGCCTCGGGTAAAAATGCGATTAAAGATACCGCATGAAGAGATGCCGTTGTTGCCGTTTCCGCCGTCAACGCTTCCGCTGTTTCCGTTCCAGTTGTCGTTTCTGTTTCGGTCGGCGTTCCCAACAATTATGTTGTCGATCGTCTTCCTTTCCTTAGACACTCTGCTGCTTCCGCTTATATTTCCGTTGCTGTGGCTGTTGCTGTTGATGTTTCCAGATCCTATCCAGTCTATTCTTCCGTAGCCGTTTGCATCAAAGCCTGCGCCACTGCAATTGCCAGTGCTAGCGCTATCGCTACCGCTCTCCTCTTGCAGCTTGGGCATGGTTTCGGTTCCGCTTCCGCTATTGTTTCCGCTTTGGCTGGCGACACTGTTAGCGATCACCTCCTTCAGCTCGGAGACGCTTCCGTTGCCAATATCTTCTGCTGTCAGAGCAGCGGTAATAGCCGCCTTCAGAGCCGTCTTAGGTCGTGGCTTACCCCCAAACATGGCTTTCTCCGGATTTAATTTAGAAATATTTTAGATTTGATTTTATTTTTTTTTGTTTTCTGTGTAGCTTGTGCTAAGTATATTGATTGTAGAGGCGATAATAATGTTAGGAGGGGAGAGAGACGTCTGGCATGACAGCCTTGTGACACCACTAAAAACGCCCTGACCCCCCCTTGACAGATTATTTATGGGCCACTGTGATGGGGTTCTCGACCTTTGTCCCCTCTCCGTTGCGTGATGTGTTTCGGAATGCGGGTACGTGCATGCCTCACACGGCGTGATTGGTGGTCGCGCATTACGATTGAGAGTGCGAGCGAGTATGTGCTCAACGTCCACTTCCTCGCTTAATGCGACCTCTGAGTGACAGATGCCCTGTTTCAGCATATCCTTTCTGCAGAAGGATCTCCTGAAGGATGGTGGAAGGCGTACACACCCCCTTAATTTAAGAAGAACGTATGTACCTCTAAATCAAATTTAAACGATTATATAGAGAACTTTTCCGTCTTTTATTTGGGCTTTAATGATGGGCGACTCGTCTTGGCGGTGAAAAGGTGACTTTCAGTGGACTGAAAGAATCCCCATAGCGTAGGCGGAAGGCAAGTTAGGCGTGTCTTGTGGTGAGTGAAAGGCTTCAGCATCAAACTGGAACATAGCTGCTCCAAACATAGCTGATTAAACATGTCCCCCAGGGGTTCTGTGCCACAGCTGTCTCCCAGAGGACCTGAGCCACAGCTGAGACCCTCAGCTAGGATGGTCTGTTCTCAACAGAACTTTTGAAAAAATAAAGCCTACGTTAGATGGCGGGAAGGACCTGACCCAGTTAATAGAATGTGGGATCTCAGTCGTAGTCGCAGGTCCTATGCCAGCCTGCATCTGTACGAGAATGTGTCACACTCTGTGCCACTCTCTGTGCCTGTGCATGTGGGCTTATGTGCATTGCTTCCGTTTCCGGGAAAAGTAGAACAAAGGCCTGCCCTGACAGGCAGCGGAAAATATTATCCGAGCGAGCGCTTAGCCAGGATCGAGACCGAGTCTGAGACTGGGACAGAGCCAAAACCAGAGCCAAAACCAGAGCCAAGGCCACCGTCTCCTTGTGGACAGCGGAAGTTCAGAGTCCACACATTGAAGGTTGTTTCGTCCTGCTCCTACCTCACTCAAGGACTATTTCAGGCGACACTGCTCGGCTTAACAGGCCGCCTAATTGGGGGTTCCCCTGTGGTCGACCCGATTCGAATCGATTTCATCTGCATTCCCAGGTCCAACTAACAATTAGTGTCGAACCCCAACCACACGCATAGGCGTGCGCGGATGGAATGTGGCAGGAATCTGCTGATGAGGCTGATAAGGCGCCACATCGCAGTGGATAATTGGGTTGCGGCTATGTCGGTGGGCTGTCATAATTAACATCTGGCACCGTTACCGAATCCCACGTCGCATCCAGAATTCACAGTCGATGGATGGCATCGCTCCACCCTCTACTTCTACCACAACAAATTCAAGAAAGTCATATTCAAAATTCAAATTTTTTCGGTACTTCTTCGGGGAACAAATAGTTTTATAATAAAAGAAAAGCTCTGCATCCAGTTTTTTAACCATTTCTTATCCGCTGGGAAGTTATGCAATCGAATCCTAGCTTCAAATTCTCCTAGCGGATAGGGGATATCGTATTAACACTGAGCTAAAAACTCAGCTGCTATAAAGCCCTTACGATATGCAGTTTATGGCTAACATTTTATGGTAGTATTATGGGCGTATATATATGGGCGTGGATAATTACCCGAAAAAAGTCCTTTACGATACAAACCAGGGTAGAAGAACTAACTACCATTAAGCAATCTTTGGATATTAACGTATTCCATAAGTACACTCAAGTGCTTGCTGTCGAGTGTATACTCACGATATGTTTATCTTTGGCATAATGGCGCTCCTAATTGTACGAAAGTCAGTCTAAAAAGTAATGGAAATATTCGGATATTGGATATTTGTCTTTTTCGTCATGTTTATTACAACTTAATTGCCATAAATACATACGATAAAACTCTTGCGATAAGCAATTTACCTTGATATAGAAATTTATGGTGAATATTATATAGCTACATTTTCTTTTTCGCTTATTAATTCAATAATTCCCGAAGATACTTCCCTTACGATATATGTATATATTTATAAATTTATAAAAATGTGTCTGGTACTTTTTTAAAAATTGGTTGAGCTATCGACTATCTTTAGTCACTTTCCGAACCTCTAAGAAGCTTTCAATGAAAAGCTCTGTGAGCACAAACACAATTTAATTTTCTAGTTAAAATATATTTTTATTTTTAAGAAACAGACAAGCAAAGAATTTTTTTTTATAAATTTGAAACTTTTAAGATAAATACAAATTAAAACATTTTTTTTCTTTAAAGTATTGCAATACTGTGGGAAATATTCACAGGTGAGAGAGCCTGAATTTCCCTCTAATTACCCCCTAAAAAATGTCCCAAATTCAGGGGAAATTCTTGGGACAATTTTTCACTCCGAAATTGAGTAACTCTCAAAAAAATAGCACACTCCCAAGAAAGACCTCACTCTCAAGGAATAACTCACTCGAAAAACTGAGTTTGAGTATCTTGCAGCAATTTCACAGGGTTTTCTAAATTTTGAAACAAACTGCAGCCACGTCCGTAGTGAATCTTCGGTATTGTTCGTATATTCTACTATTTGCTTCTTCATAACTCTGAACCTCTGTATCTGATCATCTGATATCATAAATAGGAAATGCAGGTGCATAGGTAGGTAATGATTGTGTCCGCACTGCACGCAGTCTCATGGCAGAAGGAGGGGCAATCAAAACGCAGCTGGAGGCATTCTAAAAGCAACTCAAGGACTTGGCAGCACTCAAGACTTGGACATGGATGGATGGCACTTGGTTCTGGGCTCTGGGCTCACCGCCTCGACAGGGCGACCAGCGGGGGACTGCGATCAAAGGCGAGCGTGAAGAGATTTCGGCGCTCCGATGTTGGCCCACTTCCTTTCGGGTTATTCCATGGGCCATGGGCCATGTGAGGGCTGTCAGTTGGCTGGCTGGGTCCAGGTCAGCGGCCCCAAGCGGCTCCGACCACGTCCGTGTCGGGGGGCTAAGGCTGGGAAAGTTTGCCGGCAGCCGGCCAATGCACATAGCGATACCAAATCGAAGAGCGAGCCGGGGTCCAACCCAAATGGCACGCGTCGTCGCACTACGTGAGAAATTCAAGGCTCAAGGAAATGAGTTGTCAAGCAGAAGTCCAGGTCCAGGTCCAGGTCCAAGTCTGAGTCAGAGACCTAGTCCGAGTCCGGCAGAGAGTTGCGGAAGCGAAGGCGAAGCCGGAAAAGCCAATTAATTTGACAGCAGGCCATAAACAGGCGGCGACACTGCAACCTAGGGAAAAGCGCACTCAAGTGGAACAGCGAGGACTCCAAGCTCCCGGCACCCGGCACCCGGTACCCGGCACCCGGCACCCGACCGCCCGCTCCAGGTGGAGGCCAGGCCGAGCCTGTCACGTATCCGAACGTAGAGGTAGGTGGGAGTACGTTGAACTCCAGCAGAAAGACCCGCTCGCCCATCATATGCTGCGGGGCTGCCCGGTACACAAAAAGTGCCCACGGGACTAGAACACGGGTATGTCGAAGCAGAAAGGGTCCCCGAGGCTGTCGAAGGAGGCTGACGTCTATGGGCACCGCAGGAACCTGAACTTTTTGCCGTGCCGCCTGATTTGCACTACAAAAGCGGGGCAAGATGACTAAATTAATGAGATTTCCCAGTTAGCAAAGTTGGCCAGGCAAATAGCGAGCAAATAGCGAGTATGCTCGGGTTCACCGATTCTTGTGGAGGTCAGCTTTCTGACAAGATGGGGTCGACCCTGGGCCCACACATAGCTGCGATCTTTCTGAGTAGATGGAGATCATGTTGAGGGTGTAATTATGGGGGATGTATTGTGAGAGATGGCCACTCTTTGGAATGGAATCCTGAGATAATACCTCATGGGATTTCGAAGACACACAATCTGAACGTTATTCGTTCTTAATCATCAATTAATATACATTTTCTGCCCAGAGAGTGAGTCTGTATTCTCAGCCTTAATTATCCAGAACATCTGCAATCTTTCCCAACTACTTTTCCCAAATCACCTTTCCACGAATGTCCTTCCCAGTATCCTTTTCTGGCCACCCGTTGCGAGGTGGTTGGAGGGTCTTGGGGCTTGGGTGTTGGTTTGTTGGGGAGACCATCAAATACAATCTAATAAGCGGAACGCAGCTACGCTCGAGGCGCCACAACTTTCGAGTCCTTGCAGTTTATCACTTGCCAGGCGCTAAACTGCAAGACTTTGGGGCAAAACTTTGGCCGGGCCATCATAAATCAGCGCGTTGGCTTTCCTGTTACCCAGTCCCCCAATCCCACCCCCACACCACTACCACTACTACCAACTGTCCCCACTGCCCCCACCGTCCCCTCTATTCTTACTGTATCCGTTTCCTAACCCTGTTTCCCAGCGCCTTTTTGCAAGATTCCTCCATTCAGCTTCATTTTTCGAGTTATCATTGAAGGAACTTATGCACTAAAAACGCACTCTTCGAAGGGGTTCGAGGGGCTAAGAGGGAAGTTGTCTGAAACGAGGGGTTGTCTGGGGTTCGCCCCATTTTATGATTCTTCATTTTGAATTGCTGTAGCAACATTTTTGGGGTCATGACTATCCAAAATATTGTCTTTCCAGACTCTATAGACTCTCCATACCATCCCACTTTCGCCAAACGCCTGACAAATCATGAAGCCCCGCGCCAGTATCCTCCCCTGTTGGAGTCGCAGATGGGATTCGGACTCGGATTCGGATTCCAATGAAGAGTCAGGTGCGGCGCAAAAAAGTAGGCAACCAAAATATGCCGCAACAAAACTGAGGCGGAAAAAGGGTGGGGGTGTTGGAATGGCAGAAGGGGGTGTTCGGCGGTGCCACACAATTTTTGTGGTCATGCCAAGGCTTGATATA